GTCGGACACACACACAGGCACGCCAGGCCCCTACTATCGTGTCAATCACACACACAGGGACGCCCGGGCCCTACTACCGTGTCAGATACACACACAGGGACGCCGGGGCCCTACCATCGTGTCAGACACACATACAGGGACGCGAGGGCCCTACCATCGTGTCATACACACACACAGGGCCGCCAGGGCCCTACTATGGTGTCAGACACACACACACGGACACCAGGGCCCTACCACCGTGTCAGACACCCACACAGGGACGCCAGGGACCTACTATCGTGTCAGACACCCACACAGGGACGCCAGGGACCTACTATCGTGTCAGACCCACACACAGGGACGCCAGTGCCCTACTATCGTGGCAGACACACATACAGGGACGCGAGGGCCCTACTATCGTGACAGACACACACAGGGACGCCCGGGCCCTACTATCGTGTCAACTAGCCTATAAAAAGCCAGTCTAGCACAGAAGTGCTCAGCTCTTGTTCAATTAATGTTACCTCGCTAAACAGACTTCCTCCCCTGACTGAGCAGGAGATGCTATCAGAGACACACACCCAGGGATGCCAGGGCCCTACGATCGTGTCAGACACACACACAGGCACGCCAGGCCCCTACTATCGTGTCAACTAGCCTATAAAAAGCCAGTCTAGCACAGAAGTGCTCAGCTCTTGTTCAATTAATGGTACCTCGCTAAACAGACTTCCTCCCCTGACTGAGCAGGAGATGCTATCAGAGACACACCCACAGGGACGCCAGGGCCGTACTATCGTGTCAGACACCCACACAGGGACACCAGGGCCCTGCTATCGTGTCAGACACACCCACAGGGACGCCAGGGCCCTACTCCCGTGTCAGACACACACCCAGGGATGCCAGGGCCCTACTATAGTGTCAGACACACACACAAGGATCCCAGGGCCCTACCATCGTGTCATACACACACACAGGGACACCAGGGCCCTACCATCGTTTCAAACACACACACAGGGACATCAGGGCCCTACCATCGTGTCAAACACACACACAGGGACACCAGGACCCTACTATCGGGTCAGACACAAACACAGGGACGCCAGGGCGCTACTATCGTGTCAGACTCACACACAGGGACGCCAGTGCCCTACTATCGTGGCAGACACACATACAGGGACGCGAGGGCCCTACTATCGTGTCACACACACACACAGGGACGACAGGGCCCTACTATCGTGTCAATATTTAGGTTAATAATCCTTCACATTTTCACAAATAACCATCCCAACAGCTGAGGATTGATCATACATGATCATAAATTCTTTACAACATATTGCAGATATGAAGTCATCTATTGGATAAACAGGCATGCTATGAGGAGAATATATTACTGTATTACCCGTTTGTATTAAAAAAAACAAGGAACAGTCAGTCAGCATTAAAAACATAACATTTTGCCTGTTTATTACCTTGTTTACTAGTAAATAGAAATTTTGATGACTTTGGTTGGTAAGTTGGTAATTAAACCTAAGCCTCATGCACACACTATTTTGTTATACGACATGACTTAGTGATCACTTTTAACGTGGCCTGCATCTGTGCACCATGTACACGTATGTACATTAGGCCATACTTAGATGATAGTGCTCACCTATTGAAAATGATCCGTGTCAAACCGTTACTTAATGACATCACTAATTCTGACAATACTTTATAAACTAAAACGTAGTTAATTACCTCTCAGTACATCATTTGTATCATTAATTCTGACAAGTCAATTACTATATAAACTTAAATAACGTAACATAATTTGCTATCAGAATTCTACTCCTTTTCTTTTGTACTAGGCAAATAAACTTCAAACAAATGCATTCTTGCATTCTGTTCAAATATTAAATCAATTTTTATCATCACTAAAAAACAACTACACAAAACAAAGAAAATATTACATCAGTTTGGTATTGGACAATTCCAGATACATTTTGTATGCTTACAAGAATAAATACACAGATTTTTTATGCTTACAAGAATAAATACACAGATTTTTATTAAGTAAGTATTTATAACTTATAATTCATAATTTGTATCTAATAACTAAATTGGTACCACTTCTTCTATAGTTCTGTCAGTGTTTAAAGATGTACTTCCTCATTTTATTTCAATTTACCTTAAAGGTAGAAATAAATCCCGCTATTTTTCTACTTAAAAGACCTTGAAAATTTATATTCGTGTTGAATGTATGTTATTTCGTCTATATGTATTTTTTTTAATACAAAGACAGTCTATCACTGTTGACAAGGTAGCTCTTAAAGTTAGAGTGACAGTACTGGTATATTGATTGGAGATTCAGTAGTGATGGGCAATTGGTTTAAAATCATAATCGATAATCAGTTTGTAATCGGAAGTAGTAAACCGATTGATGATCTATTGCATAATCAGTTCATAATTTTATGGGACTGAATACCCAAATTAAGTGACAACACTGCTACCTATAGACAGAGTTGTAACTATACTACACTAGGCTTCGTTCTTTTGTAATGAATGAATTTCATTTCAATACATTTTTTACATTGAAAACATTAACACTTTGACTACAAGTTCAATGAAGAACCAATTATATCAATAATAGAATTTGTAATCGATAATCGGAATGGTCAAACCAATTGATTTTCGATTTGATCGATCATCAGCCCATCACTAAGGTGATCGATCATCAGCCCATCACTGAGGTGATCTGTCATCAGCCCATCACTAAGGTGATCGAACATCAGCCCATCCCTAAGGTGATCGATCATCAGCCCTTCACTAAGGTGATCGATCCTCAGCCCATCCCTAAGGTGATCGATCATCAGCCCATCTCTACGGTGATCAATCATCAGCCCATCACTAAGGGGATCGATCATCAGCCCATCACGAAGGTGATCGATCATCAGCCCATCTCTACGGTGATCGATCATCAGCCCATCTCTACGGTGATCGATCATCAGCCCATCACGAAGGTGATCGATCATCAGCCCAGCACTAAGGTGATCGATCATCAGCCCAGCACTAAGGTGATCGATCATCAGACCATCACTAAGGTGATCGATCTTCAACCTATCACTAAGGTGATCGATCTTCAGCCCATCACTAAGGTGTTCTATCATCAGCCCATCACTAAGGAGATCGATCATCAGCCCATCACGAAGGTGATCGATCATCAGCCCATCTCTACGGTGATCGATCATCAGCCCATCTCTACGGTGATCGATCATCAGCCCATCGCTAAGGGGATCGATCATCAGCCCATCACCAAGGTGATCGATCATCAGCCCATCGCTAAGGTGATCGATCATCAGCCCATCTCTACGGTGATCGATCATCAGCCCATCTCTACGGTGATCGATCATCAGCCCATCGCTAAGGTGATCGATCATCAGCCCATCTCTACGGTGATCGATCATCAGCCCATCTCTACGGTGATCAATCATCAGCCCATCACTAAGGTGATCTATCATCAGCCCATCGCTAAGGTGATCGATCATCAGCCCATCACTAAGGTTCAGGGTTCGAATCCTGTCTTGACAACATTCAGAACACTATTGATTTTATTAAGTTAATTTCATCTTTATTATTTGTTTTTGTTTTCAGAAATGACTTCCAAAACTGTAATAAAGCCAGGAAAAAAGGTCTCAGTGAATATTGATCATTTTTGGCAGAGGTACAGGGATCCTTAAGGTAATAGGATTGTGTCGCCATTTCTCAGTAGAATTTCTTCAAATTTTGTAGTTATATTGCTTTGAAGTAAAGAAAATTTTCTGCCACAAAAAAATATAGGTTGTCATAATTTTAAGGAATTTAAATGGAAATTTATGTAAAAAGGAGTGACTTTTGAAAAAAAAATGAAAGACACAATTTTTTGCAAAATAATATCTATAAAAATGATACTTCCATAGATTATTATTGCATTAATGTATATCAATTTAATAAATGCTGAAATTATGTCAAATAGATTATCTATAAACGATTAAAAATTGACATTTTATAATAAAACCATATGCACATTGTAATTGCAGGTAAGAATTATCTTTCTTGAAAAACTTCACAGAAGTGAAATAGGTAGCCGGTTCATGTGGCTCATTGATTAAAAAAAAAATGAATTAATGCCTGCATTGCTTTGAAAAACTTTAATATTGAGAGAAACACTGTTCTGTCAATAATAAACATACAATATTCATCAGTTTAATATTAAACATTAGAATATGCGGAAATTGTGATACTGTCTCCCTACATTGGAAATTCGACTAGGGATGTACTTCCTACTTCCGTTTATCAATACACACCTATGACCTTTAGATAATTTGTGCTGTTGTTGACATTTTTCCTGGATTTCCATCAATACTGAACAAAATGCAAATTATATTCAGAAAAGTTAACAACATTTCCCTGTTAGGAATGGAAACTTATTGATAATTAATTTTAGCGAAATCTGAAAAATGTTATGTAGAAATGTTACTTTAACCGAAATCAAGAAAGAATGGGGTCAGACTTCACTGACCAAGATTAGGATCAGGTCAGGCCATCCACAGTACCAGCAGATTGTTTACACCTGAGAGGTCAGTGACCCTTAACTGTTATTACCAGTATAGGTCAATCACAAGTAGGGACATCAAGTACCTTCCTCAACACACCAGACAATTATGAATCCTTTAGGTAAAGACTACATTACCATGTTTTTCATCAAAAGCACATTGACATATTTTGTAATGCTAACAGCTGACAACACATAAATAGCTATAAAGATTTGGTCAATTACATAATATTGCTTGATATTTTAGAATTATTGTTTTAAATAAATGCTTTAAAAGCATATCATACAGCAGGTTTCCAGACTTTGATGCTTGTTTGAAATAGGGTACAGCAGCCACATTCATTAAGCAAATGTAATTTTTGGGCAGCTTCAACATTTAACTTACCAATAGGGATTAGAGTTATAATACATGTACATAACTATTAAATTAAATGCAATACCAGGTACTTACAGTCGGTAACACTTTCTCATTGCTCCTCTGTTGAATGACTGAAAACAAGACACAACTCATAAATTTATCAAAATTTTAACAAGAAAAAATCACTGTACATCAATATAATAGCCATACTACAATTAAATGCCAATTGTCAATTCCATACTTAATCATTATTTTTTTCTCATATTTGCCCAATAAATGTATCTGAAACCTTAAACACATAGCTTTAAGCTTACCTTGGATTCAATCTTGACCTTAACCTCATCTGTTAACCATGTCTTTTTATGTGGGTTATAGCGATGTCTGATACAAACTTCGGAATCAATATCCTCAATATGAAAGGCTTTCCATGGATCATTTAATAATTTTGCCTTTCTAATAGCCAAAGCCCAATTAAACTTTGCTCGTGCATGTGCAGTGGTCATTTTTAATTTCATAGCAGTTGAGTTTGATTGAGCAGTGTTAAGTGATGCCAGAGCAACAGATTTGCTTAGTCTTCTTTGCCTCAGTGTCATTGGTGGTGGCATAGCAGGTTCTTCACTATCACTTTCCTCTGTATCCTCACGCTCATCTGACGCATCATTGCTGGAGTCGTTGCTTTCTTTAGGATAGAGCTGCATGTCCCAATCATCATCACTGTCATATTTTTCTGTATTTGTGTCCGACATCTTGATATAAAGTTAGCTTTGTTTACTTATTAACTTCAATGAAACTAATTGTTCAAATCTGATTAATTGTCCTCGGTCTTCAGTCACAATGTAGTTATTCACGTGGTTTAATGCACTGATCGTTGTTCCAGTGACGGTCTCCACTTCTCAACAGAATAGTTGATTGTCACAGGGAATACCCCAAAGCAATCTGAATTTATGCATCTTTAAATTGTTGCTGGTTTTCAACCTGCAAATAGAAATGCAAACCTCTACAACATGATCTGGTGTTATGAACAAGATCAAATAAGAAAGAGAAATGCTATTAAACAAGAGAATATCTAGGTTAATGCGATTCTACGTCAAATCACATACATCAACTGAAAAATAAAGACACAGTACAGTCATGCTTCTGGTGTGATGGCAGACAGTATAACATCCAACAAAACTCAGTAGCTTTTTTTTTTTTTTTAGTACTTACCACAGAATTGTGAAGCCTCTAATACTTACGTTCAGTTTCAGCTGAATAACCAAACCGGTTAACTTATGTACTTCTATTCGACAGGTTTCAACAATCTACATCTACAAGTAATTATACTGTCCTCATCTAGCTCATCATGACCTAATCTTAATTTTCAGATTTCTGTCTACCATATCTATACCAAGACAGATCCCACATGTGGTACAGGAAACACAAAGGAGTGACACCCAACTTCAAATCCAGCTGATGATTTCATGAAAATGATGTTCTTGTATCACCCACAAGGTAGCATGTACAGAGCCTTCGAATACGGTGACATTTATTCCAGGGGTGCATACAGAAGGTATAAGAGCGTAACATATTCCAGGGGTGCATACAGAAGGTATAAGAGCGTATCATATTCCAGGGTAGTACTAATATTAATACCTGGCCTCCTCTGCTCTGACGACGCAAAATATATAAAAATATGAGAGCGTAACATATTCCAGGGGTGTTGAGAACGTAACATATTCCAGAGGTGCAGAGCCGTATGACTATGCGAGCGTATAAACCTCTGGAATATGGAGGATGAAGTAAAGGAAGTGATTGCAAACTGTCGAACAGTCTACATTTAAGTAAAGACTAAACATGAAGTTGATAAACATTGTGACACGAATATTGGTTTTTAATTTTGCTCTTGTACATTTATTCAGAAATATCCACATTAGTGGCCTAAAACTTGACACCCAACACCACAGTACCATGGAGTATTGTCGGCTTCTTCCTGCAGTAAACAGGACAGTTGACAGTTCACCTCCAGATGCTACATCGTAGAATTATTGGTGACAGGTTATGAAGTGTAAAGGATACAAAAATATGAATAGCGTTATTCGCATCAGCACCATTGCCATTGGGACCAAATAGTCTTGTTGATATTGGATGGAAGTTGTATTCATTCGAAACCCTGTGGTGGGACAGAGTCCGACAATAAAACATGATGCAAACTTTTTAAAAAACATGTGCCATATTAGGCAAGTAATAAATTAAACTCTTCAAAACGAAAGAACATTGTATTTATGTAAGATTTAGGCAAGCTCTTACCTGATGTTTACAACTGCCAGTCGCTAGTTCGGCTGTCGGCCTGTGACCTCGTGAGACAACGTTGTTTTCTTGCTGCAAAAAGAGCCTTGACTCCGCAAGTATCATGAGGTCACGTAAGTTGTTTACTACAGTGTATTTGGTATGAAAATAGCAGATGCATTCCGACAATTCTATTCCGAATGAGAAATTAAATATAATTTTGATATTTCCAATCCAAAAACATATCAAGAGGTCTTTTATAATTACATTTTTTTAGGATATTATATGAATAAACAAAATCTAAAATTTAACATATCCACAAATACGACGAACATAATAAAATACTATTTAAGAAATAAAGAGCCTATATACATCGGTATTTGAATGTGAGGTAGCGTGGCCGAGTGGTCTAAGGCGCTGGTTTTAGGCACCAGTCTCATTGAGGCGTGGGTTCGAATCCCACCGCTGCCACTGATATTTTTTCCATGTTGCAATCGCTTGCTTTATAAGCAATTTACAGCGTGAAATTGTCTATTTGTTGACATTTTATAGATAGAACTAGCAATGTTGGATTGCCTTCACACAAGCAACTTATTAATCATCAAAACTTGCTAGTCAAGTTTTTACAGATTCCAAATTTGACAAGATTCTCATTTATGCAACTTGCAATTTTCTTGGGAAACAAATTATTTAATTACGTTTTGATTCTCACTATGTTCTTCACCCCAATGGACATGATTTCCCCTAAATATAGACTTTAATTTATTTTTATGATATAAATCACTGAAAAAATAATCTATGGAGATTTGAGATTTAATGACCTCAATGGAGATTTGAGGTTTAATGCTTGAAAACTTAGGTGAATAGATATGCTTGGGAATATCTATATAAAGCAACTTCATATATATTTTTATAATCAGAACTCAGATTGAGCCATAATCCTAGCTTGGCAGTTGATGCAGAAATTATTCATTTTTGTTGAAACAATTTTGGAGAGGGACAAATACTGAGATGAGACGGAGAATCTCAACTAACCCTCACTCATTACAAGCTAAAGTCCTGCAATGGGCAGAGCTTTTGATATCTTATCCCTTAGTTTACCCAGGTAATATTTTTCTTTATAACCTTCAGTTAGGAACATCCCAGTGCCACTAGTTAAATATTTTAGCTATGTACTACACTACACTCCAGGGAAAGGCTCTGCTCACCAAAGTAACGCATGAATGTGTTGATCAATTTGGCATAGGAAGCAGTATTTTAAGGGCTGTATAATTTCTCATGTGTTGATTGAAACAGCAAAAAAAGATGAATTTTAATTGATGTAGACAGTATACAAACTTAAACAATTTGCATACCTATTCCTGACAAATAGCAGGCTTTCCTTTATAAGGCTATGGTCATCAGTTTAATGATTACTGGTTACCAAGCTCTCCTGTTTCAATTTAAGGTCACTGCATGATCAGCTCTCCTTTGTATCATGCAGTCACTGATGAACCCTTATATTTACTCAGCATCATCACTGGTCAGCTTTCCCTCTATGGGCATCACCAATATATGTAACATATAATAACAGTAAGTATATGGGTATACTTACTAAGCAGTCAGTGGTGACCTGTCTTTTTCAATAAGTAGTCACTGGTGACCTCTCTTTATCAATAAGTAGTCACTGGTGACCTCTCTTTATCAATAAGTAGTCACTGGTGAGTTTTCCTTTATCACTTGTCATTCGTGATCTCAACTTCAATAGTAAGTAGTCAATGGTTAGCTCCTTTTTCTATTAGTAAGTGGTCAATCAATGGCTAGCTGACCTTTATTTGTTAAGCAGGTCACTAGTGAGCTCTCCTTTATTGGGCGGGTTTCATTGGTAAGCTTTTCTTTGTCAATCATCACTGGTGAGCTCTCCTTTATCAGTTAGTTGTCACTGGTGAGCTCCTCTTTATCAGTTGTCACAAGCAAGCTCTCCTTTATCAGTTAGTTGTCACTGGTGAGCTCCTCTTTATCAGTTGTCACAAGCGAGGTCTCCTTTATCAGTTAGTTGTCACTAGTGAGCTCCCCTTTATTAGTTCTAACTAGTGAGCTCTCCTTTATCAGTTAGTTGTCACTGGTGAGTTCTCCTTTATCAATTAGTTGTCACTGGTGAGCTCCCCTTTATCAGTTGTCACAAGCAAGCTCTTCTTTATCAGATCTCACTAGTGAATTCTTCTTTATCAGTTAGTTGTCACTATTGAGCTCCTCTATCATTCTACACTCACTTTTATCAGCAGTCACTGGTGAGCTCTTCTTAATCAGTTAAAGCTGTAATTTTTGTACTCTCTATCAGTCTATGGTCTCTGTTGAGCTCTCCTTTATCAGCCTATAGTCACTGGCAAGTCTCTATTTACAGCATTTCTTTTATAAAAGTTTGCTTAATGGCTTATAGACATTATATGCCAATTTATTTATTTTCATTTTTTATTAAAGACCTGTCCTTTTATATATTTTTCATTATGTTACCAGGTCATTGGTCTGGCCTATTATTTTTGCAGAAGATGTTTAAAAAATTTAACACTCTTGTGATCTTAATTGTAGGTAAAGGTCATCTAGTAGCGGTGGTTTTAGGCCAGGTACATACTGGCGGCCAGGTACATACTGGCCATGTATCACCACTCAGGACCTCCTGGTTATTCAGAAGAAGTGGAATAAAAGGTTTTTACATATTTGACTCCTGTGACCTTGAAAGTAGGTCAAGGTTATTTATTTGAAGAAACTTTATAGGACTCTGTCCAAGATACCAACTAGCCAAATATCATGGCCCTAGGTCCTCCAGTTCTTAAGAAGATATCATTCATAGAAAAAAATAATGGAAGACGGAAAACACACATGATAAGCTGAACTGGCACAAAAATTTAACCTTTGACCTTACCTGATTATTATATGTAAAAACACTCGGACTTTCTAAAGCATATCAGAGTATCACAACTCTAGACCTTACAAATATATATATTTTGACACCAGCCAATGTTCAAAGTTGACCTCAACATGATATGCTACATATTTGTAAAACTGATTTACAAAAAAAAAACTATTGTACTTCTATCTTTCTTTTAAGAAGAAATTTTACAAAATCAACATGAATATTGAACAAATACTGTAAAATATAGAGAACAAGAGCTGTAGTAGAATAGCATAGCTCGTCTATTGCCAACACTTGTGAATCTAATAAGCCATCATCACTTGTTGTGTTATTTGGGTTTTTTTAAACCTATGTCAGTAACTTTTTTTTTATGGTTTTGGGCCTTTGCTGTGCCTTACAGAGTATATTGATGCTAGTGTTTGTCTTTACATGTCAAAATAATTTAAAATGAACTTACTATTTAATTTGTTCACTTTCATAATAAGTCTCTTTCTTTCTTTTTGTTGTTGTTGACATATTTGATCCCAATGACCCCACCCCCTCTGGCCCGGCTCCTGCATGGGGGTTATATCAAAAATCAGAAAGTGTTGTGCACTTTTTGATACATATATGTACCATGTGTAAAAGTTTCAAGTTCCTACCTCAAACATTGTAGAAAAAGTTAACCCCTTAAGTACCCCCCCCCCCCCCCCCCCACCCCCATCATCATTTGCTAAAATGAATTGCTGTAAAATGTAGAACTCGATCATTATAATGTTTGATTTGATATGCTATTAAGACTGAATTTGTTTTGAAAATATTTGACCCCATCCCTCTGGCCCGCCCCCTGGGGGGTCATGTTCAAAATCCAAAAGTGTTGTGCACTTCTCCATACATATATGTTCCATGTCTAAAAGTTCCTNTCGGCCTCTAGGGGTTATGTCAACAAAAGGCCCAATGGGCCTGAATCGCTCACCTGGTATTAATCTCACACTTGTTATCTCAAAAGTGGACTAAAATACAACTACAGGCAGAATATCATTGTTTGATTAATAAGAACCTATTAAAAGATTTAAACATATGACACCCGTGACCTTGAATGTCGAACAAGGAAATTAGTTTTAACAGAGTTTATAGTCTTCCTACCTAGCATGCTTCTAGCAAAATATCATTACCCTGGACTTTTTGGTTATACAGACCAAATCATTTAAAGATTTAAACATATATTGACCACTGTGACTCTGAATATGGGCGAAGGTCATTCATTTGAACAAACTTGGTAGCCCTTCATCCCAGCATGTTAATGCCCAAATGTCATCACCCTAGGCCTTTTGGTTATTCAGAAGAAGTTATTTAAATGTTTTTAACATATTTGACCCCAGAGACCTTGGATATGATTCAAGGTCATTCATATGAACAAACTTGGTAGCCCTTCATCCAAGCATGTTAATGCCCAAATGTCATCACCCTAGGCCTCTTGGTTGTTCTTCAGAAGTTGTTTTAAGATTATAACATATTTGACCCCTGTGACCTTGAAAATGGATAAAGGTCATTTATTTGAACAAACTTGGTAGCCCTTCATCCCAGCATGTTACTGGCCAAATATCATCACCCTAGGCCTCTCGGTTATTCAGAAGTTGTTTAAAGGTTTAAACATATTTGACCCCTGTGACCTTGAATATCAGTCAAGGTAATTTATTTGAACAAACTTGGTAGCCCTTCATCCCAGCATGTTAATGGTCAAATATCATCACCCTAGGCCTCTTGGTTATTCAGAAAAATTTGTTTTAAGATTTTAACATATTTGACCCCTGTGACCTTGAATATCGGTCAAGGTCATTTATTTGAACAAACTTGGTAGCCCTTCATCACAGCATGTTACTGGTCAAATATCATCACCCTATTCAGAAAAAGTTGTTTTAAGATTTTAACATATTTGACCCCTATGACCTTGAAAATGGATAAAGGTCATTTATTTGAACAAACTTGGTAGCCCTTCATTTCAGAATGTTACTGGCCAAATAGCATCACCCTAGGCCTCTCGGTTATTCAAAAGAAGTTGTTTAAAGGATTAAACATATTGGACCCCTGTGACCTTGAATATAAGTCAAGGTAATTTATTTGAACAAACTTGGTAGCCCTTCATCCCAGCATGTTACTGGCCAAATATCATCACCCTAGGCCTCTTGCTTGCCCAAAAACCTTAACCAAGTGGGACCCTGACGCTGTAAGTACTGCCTATAGCTCCCCCTGTTCTTCGAATAGACAAGTTAAAAATACAGGTAACATATATAATATGTATTTTTGAAATCTCAAACTGAAGAACACAAATCTCCGACAGAAAATTATTCCACAACAGAAACATAAGGTATCTGACTATATAATGTTTTCTTATCAGTTATATGATAATCTGCATTTCGGATGTTTATTCTTTAACTTAGCTCATCCATAAAACATTTCTTTTGTAATTTTCATACCCATATGAATGCCCAATGTAATTAAAATTACATATTCACATCACTCCCGCTTACTGACATGTTCCACTTAACATATCAGTAAATGGGAGAGATGTGAAGATATAATTTTACTAAGATTGATGAATGCCATGACATGCATATACGTTTCCCAATACTTTTGCTATGGAATACATATGTTCATATATTATTACCCAACCCTTAGACATTAAAATAAATCACTCATGTTTTATGTCATATCTAAATTTAGAAAAAAAAGATGTTCCAGAGAACATGCAGCAAAAATCAATTAATTAAAATAGAATATTTTTATTTTTATTTGAAATAAATATATGTCAAGTAACATTGTTTTTGTCTATTTTTTTCTTATAATCGATTAAGACATCTATAAACATTGAGGAAATATCGTATAATGGTTGTGCATTCAATCACACTAACTTTACTCGTTTGTGGAAAACCCCTTAGGGATAGCATGTTCCAAGAATGATTTTTTTGGTTAAAGTAGCAGAAATAAGTGAATTTATGTTTTGTATTTGTTATTTATGTAGTGTTGTGTAGGACTTGATAAATTGTTAACACTGGTGACTGGACCATGCAAATGCTGTTTCCGAAACCTAACAAAATCAGCAGAATCCTTGCAAATTGATGTTCAAGTCATATAGATGTGTTGAAATTGATAGGTGTTAAAAGAAAAAGTGTTGTATAGAAAAATTTTGAATTTTAAAATTAAATAAGGCAATAATCAATTGCGATAAGAAATGAAGTAATTTTGAGTTAGCATGAATGTGTGGGTACACCAATTTTTAAGAAGCCATTTAAACAAATGAGATAGCAAAGTGATCTTGGCATCAACCCTCAGAAGATCTTCATTACTATTATGCAAGTTTGATCTATTCCTTTTCTTTCTCTTTTCTATTGGATTGATAGTCTGATTTTCAACAGTAGAAGCATCTTGTGGTAACTTTTGAACAAGAGGCCCAATGGGCCAGCATCGCTCACCTGGTATTAATCTCACACTTGTAATCTTAAAAGTGGACTAAAATACAGCTACAGGCAGAATATCAGTGTTTGATTCATAAGAACCTATGAAAGGTTTAAACATATGACATCCGTGACCTTGAATGTCGAACAAGGACATTTAAGTCATTAGGTTGAAAAGAGTTTATAGTCTTCCAACCCAGCATGCTTCTGGCAAAATATCATTACCTTGGACCTTTTGGTTATACAGAACAAATCATTTAAAGATTTAAACATATATTGACCACTGTGACCTTAATTACGGGCGAAGGTCATTCACTTGGTAGTCTTTCAGAAGTCGTTTAAAGGTTTTCAATATATTTGACCCCTGTGACCTTTAAAGTGGGTCCAGGTCATTCATTTGCACAAACTTGGTAGTCCTTTATCCTAGCATGCTACAGGCCAAATATCATCACCCTAGGCCTTTTGGTTATTGAGAAGAAGTTGTTTCAAGATTTTAACATATTTGACCCGTGACCTTGAATATCAGTCAAGGTCATTTATTTGAACAAAATTGGTAGCCCTTCATCCCAGCATGTTACTGGCTCCGCTCCACAGCATAAGTTCACTTGGCCCTTCGAGCCAGGTGAGCTAATAAATATCATACAGCTGGGTTTGAGACTTCTTGTTTATTTCTTTAGCAATAGCGATAACAAACTTGTGCTGTCAACATCCAAGATGGCTACCTCGTGGCCATCTTGTTTTCCTGTCTGTTCAAAAATGAAACATGCAAAACTATGGACCATGGGGAACTACATATGAAATTTGAGAATGATTTATTCAGTGCTTTTTGAGAAATAGCAATAACAGAAATTATTGAACGACCGATGGACAGAAGGCGATTTTAGCCCACTTTCTGATGAGTGTGGGCTAAAAAGTTGGCAGACTGATGACGGATGCTACGACGGATGCTGCACCATACCATACACTCCGGGGCTCAGTGCATGGTGAGTTAATGAAATGACTTAAAGCTGAGAGTCTTATACACTGAATTTTATTCAACATTTGAATGATGGTGATAATGTTAGTACACAATGAATTGGTGGTTTTTGTCATGATTTAATGAACCAAATAAATGGAAGCCTTATAATATCCTGAAATTAGACTACTGAATAGTTGTACAGTACCTTCTACAACTTATATCCAAAGATTATGATTTTACAATAATTAACTGTCGAATATGACAATGAAAATAAGTAACAGAGATGACATTTTTTGCCACTAAGATGAGAATAAATCTCTAGATGTGGCACTAAACAATATTAACTACAACAATAATTCAACACAAAGTCAGACAACAACAAAATCCAATTGTCCTGATGATCAGCTGATTTAAAAAAAAAAATATCACAATAACAATAGCCTGTGTGGAGTCCATCAATGAGTTTAACAACATCCACCTTATGAGCTGTAGGGGTCATACTGTTTGTAGGTTTACCACATGCCATGAGTCCATCAGAGTTTAATAGCATCCACTGTATAGTGCTGTAGGAGTCATACTGTCTAAAGTTTTACCACATGTGTGAAGTCCATTATCAAAGAGATTAATAGCGTCCACTGTATGAGCTGTACGAGTCATACTGTCCACCTGAAGCAAAAACAATTTCACATCAGTGTTTGTACTGGATAAACAATTTTTTTATAGAAAATATAGCTACATGGTCAGTCTTCTATATATTCCGTTCAAATATTTGAGCTTTAAACATGGTGCTAAATTAGGATTGCACCAATTTATGTCCCCGTATTTTGTTTTCTATCACATATTTTGTGGAAGCACCAATTCATCAAAGTGCTAATGGGCTAAATTCAATAATGCACTAAAATAAGTTCGTTTACAGTAACATTGTTGTTACAAATAATTTCTCTTACCTCCATAACCACCGCTGTAATTTTTACCACCACTGCGCCCACCGTCGTTTCTATTATGCTGATTACCCCCCTGAGTCTTCCACACTCCAAGCCCATGCTGCTGTTGTCCTCTATTTCCCTGGTTACCTTTGAAACAAATACAGTGCTATAGAAATCATCTTTCTCAAACTAAATGGTTGACCTTTCCAAGGCATGATTATGGGCTTGTAAATAATATTTTATTACATTTTTATCAGTGAAATATCAGTAGTTATAAATTTGGAAGTAAATAAAAAAACTCAAAGGTATCTGGTTGAATATCATATAATTTTCATCAGTATGATAGCATAAACCGATTTCTATTTACTTGTATATTGCACCAAGTCTTGTTTAAAATATCAGTATTCAGCAACTCTTAAAAAAATAAGGGTATATCCATTAAATATCCTCTATATATCTTTTTCAAAAAATTATAGAACAATACTACAATTGTATGGTCTTAAAGTCATAATTCTATAAAAGTGGCACATATTTAAAATAATGTGAAATTGCTTCATGGTATATAACAAAACTATTTACTCCTTCCAGATCCCCAGTTTTTGTCAGATGAATCGTTCCAGTTATCTCGTCTCCTCTTTGGGTTATCTTCGAATCCCTCATACTGGCTATACCCAGAGCTGTAAGCACCACTGCCTCCCCATCCATCTCCCATGGACTGTTGCTTGACACTGCAGTTCAGAAATCGAACAGTTAATACTCCACACCAATTCGAAAATGTCATCAGTGATTTTTCAACCTAAATTTTACATTAGCCTGTCCCTACAGGAATTGGAAAAATATAGCATTACATTGTATTTGTTGAAATTTGGAAGATATTCCTGATTTTTTCTTCATTTTGGGAAAATAAAGCACTTTAAAGGAGGCAAGCTGTCTCTTTCCTTTTAAATGTAATAGCATGCTAATAAAATAAAAGGAGGGAGCTCACATGAGTATTTCCCCCAAATCCAGATTGCTACTCACCCAAGTACTTCAAAAGTGTGACCTTTGAACCCTGACTGATGATCACCAAAATGTAATCAGCAATTGAACTCATTGTTAGGAAACTATGGTGTAAACTCTATAGAAGAGTTCAGAAGATAGGACAAGGCTTTAACAAAGGACACACTGATAAAGCAATTACCATAAATTTGCGGGTATAGTGCGCATTCGGTATAGTGCGCGGTTACGTTTTTGGGGTCAGATTTGAAGAAAAAAAATGAATAAACAAAATCTTTTGCAAAACAAATCATGAAAATAAACGTGTATCAAACTTGAAAAGTACCATCAAAGGTAGCTTGGTGTTTATAACGGCGATTAATTAACGATTGATTTATTGGAGTAAACAAGCCAATGAAGGTCTCCCTCCATACCGCTTGGAACGAGTGGATGATGGACAAATCCTGCAGAAATCAAACGAAGAAAGTGTAGCTAATTCCGATGCCAGAGAACCGCCGATCAACTTATGTTTCGACATCTCAGCGTTTTACCATAATAATAATTTCAATTATAGGCTCCGTTCCATGTTAGTTCTTGTGGTTATTTTATACCAAATCACTAAGCCTAGTCTTCCAAAAAACGATGTATTTGGTCCAGTTAGCCATGCTTTGTTGACACTGTATTGGTTGATACAAATTTCAGAATGGCAATATTAACGAACTGACGTTGACAAAAAGATTTGATATGAAGAAAAATATAAATTTGAAAACGATTTTAACTTGTTCCTGCATATAATGCGCACCTCCTTTTTGACATGTCAATATTTACCTAAAAAAAGTGTGCACTATACGCGCAAATTTACAGCAATACATACTCCCTTGCAACTAAAAGGTTTTATGGGTAAAAGTCCAGAGGTATTGTTGGATAGCAATAAGATGATCATAACATTTCAAACCATGTACAACATACAGCAGTTGCAGCATATTTCAATTAATAAATATTGATACCTTTTCTTGTTTTTCATCTCTATAATGGCAGATTGTAAGAAATCCAGCATGTTGTCATCATCCACATTACCACGTCCACCTCTGAAAAAAAGACAACAAAATCTTAGAAACCAAAACTTTCAGTGATTTAACCATTCGAGGATATCTAATAATATTTAAGTCAAAATGCAATGGTTTTTGGCTAGCCTTAATGTGTATTTCTCACACTTTTCTTAAAGGAAGTGTTGTCTATGTGACCTGTAGTTCATATAAATATCTACACTACGTTTTCTCTAGTAATAAATGATCTTTTTACAACTTTTGATAAGCAGTATATGAAATTCTTCTCTTTAATGTAATGACAAGCATATCTGATGCATATACCAAATGTAAGTCTCATCAGGTAGGTATGAATTGTACCCAGACCATATTAAACACTAGTACATTTCTAACAAACTTACCCATAGTTATCCTCCTGCTGGAAAAAAAACCCAGAAAAAATAATCATTATAAGGATACAAGAGAACCAGTGTGTACAGTTTACACATTAAACATAACTCCGGATAGATAAACTTTGGAAAAGTGAAAAACAAAAATACAATAAAGGAACTACAGAATATAAGTTTTCGGGATAACTGGGCTAGAGAATTGTTATTTATGGATAACTGAGCTAGAGAATTGTTATTTATGGATAACTGGGCCAGAGAAGTAGTGTTATTTATGGATAACTGTGCTAGAGAATTGTTATCTATGGATAACTGGGCTAAAGAATCATAATTTATGGATAACTGGGCCAGAGAATCATTATTTATGGATAACTGGGCTAGAGAATTATTATTTATGGATAACTGGGCTAGAGGATCGTTATTTATGTATAACTGGGCCAGAGAATCATTATTTATGTATAACTGGGCTAGAGAATCGTTATTTATGGATAACTGGGCTAGAGAATCATTATTTATGGATAACTGGGCTAGAGAAGTCATAATTCTATAAAAGTGGCACAGAGAATTGTTATTTCTGGGTAACTGGGCTTGAGAATCATTATTTATGGATAACTGGGCTAGAGTAGTGTTATTTGTGGATAACTGGACCAGAGAATTGTTATTTCTGGGTAACTGGGCTTGAGAATCATTATTTATGGATAACTGGGCTAGAGTAGTGTTATTTATGGATAACTGGGCTAGAGTAGTGTTATTTCTGTATAACTGGGCCAGAGAATTGTTAGAAATTGGAGAGATACAAGGTTAAATCTCCATCCAGTTGATATAAATTTATTTCACACTGTAATGTGTATGTTACTATTTTATGTCAACCAACTTTCCATCATAGAATTGCCACAAGCAATATCTTAAGCTCCAAGGTGACAGAGTACATACGTACTAGTCATTGAAATGTCACATAGAAACACTTAATGGTTGTGTAAAAAAAATATACTTTCCATAATCCATACTTACCCACCCGCCTTAAGAAAATGTTTAGAAATAAGCAATATATATATATTTAATAAGGAATTGAAAGACATATTGTTTATTGACCTAATTCTATCAAATTCTACTGTCTCGCACTACTCAATAAAGGAACCAAGCTATCAAAAACTGATTCTGATATGTGTTTTAAGCAGATCATTTTGTAAAGTAATCTTAATTTGTCGACAGTAATGCAAGTATTAATAGAAAAACTTAGCCCTTACCTGGTATCCACCCTGTCGCTCATAGCCTTGGTTACCCCATTCTGAAATCATAAATTTAGGTTCAATAGAAACTTGAGTTTATATATTAATTTGAAAAAAATCAGCAGTACAAACCTTCAGTTTTAAGGCTCAGCTTTTTATATATCAAATTATAAGAATACCATTTTAAACAGAAGCAAAAATAATCTTTATGTCAGACTAAATTTCTCAGAACTTTGTTTCAATTTCATTTGATATGTCACTTTCTGATGATATATGAGTGAGATCATTACACGTTTTCTACTTTTTCCATCCAATGTCTCATACAGTCTTTAAAAATAATACCTTGGTTTCCAAAATTTCGGTTTCCAAACGTTTGGTTTCCAAAGCCTTGTTTACCACCGAAAGAGCCCTGGTTTCCACCGAAAGAGCCCTGGTTTCCATAGCGCCCTTGCATGCCTGCAGTATGAGGTCTCGGCTTATTGGACGCTCCTTTTGGGTTGTTCTTATTGCCAAATCCTCCATTAGAGTTCATTTTCCTGGGAGTTCCCCGCATGTCTCCTCCTGCAAACATGCCTCCTCCCTGTGACCATCCTCTGCCCATATTGCCTCCCTTTGGGGACATGAGGGGGCGAGGTCCCAACATTCCTGGTCCCTGATTCCATTGCCTTTTCTTATCCTTGGCAGGTGTCTGTACAGCCTTCTTCCTCTTTGGTGGCTTGTTCTTGTGAAGCTCCTTAGCTGAAAAATGTGGATGTCACCAATTTTTTTTTTTTTTACAAGAAACCACCAGTGGCGTTATTGCTGGATTTCTCCTATGCTATGACATAGAACCATACAAAATCCCATACAACCACTGGCAGATATATGAAATTTTGGATCAAAGAAGTGGGGTAATGATACCTTATTAAGTCTTTGTAGGATATTTCTTTGAAAGTATTCATCTAGAAGCCTCTTCTAAGATGGCCACTGACAGCCACATTGAATATTGGAATCAGCTCAAAATCATACTTTTGGACAACTGAAATCCTCATTCAAATTTTGTAAACGGATAACATAGATTTCTAACCTTTTGCCACATCTGCTGGATCAGAAGATTCTGCACGACTAATAACAACCTTGTTATCAGTTCCAAGCTCAATTTCCTTGACTGTCTTCATACACTCATCTGCCTCCTTGGCATTTCTAAACTCCAACACAGCCCAACTGAAATTAGATTTAACATCAGGTATTATTTCAAGTACATTTTGATGTTAATATTTATGGCTAACACAAACTTTCTGTACCATAAGATATGACATTATTAAAAGTCAGGAACTATGAAGATATATAGGCTGTGATAAATTATATTTCACCATGGCAGTCCACGACAAGTACCCCAAGGGGTTGACCAGACACCTGAGAGTTGGGTACACTTTGGTAATCGACAATTGTCATTTTACATCTATAATCATAGTTCTTAAATGAATGAAAGGCAGATATGGGTCTTGCTCTCTGACAGACACTGATCTTTTTAAAGGTCTAGACACTCTTGTTTTCAAAGAAAATTATATTGATAGACAAATAGCATTATTTCTTGCTTAGCTTCAAGAATAACAGCTACCGTTGTGTTAACATATTCAAAACAGGAGCCAGACAGGATTAACCAGCCACTTGAGATTAATGTAATATAAAGGTTATTCACAAAAAATATTTTCTTCATACAACTAGAGTTTATTTTGGTTGCTTCTGGCACAATTTGGCATAGAAGGTATAAGGCATGACTAGTTGATATTCTTCATGCCTAGATCTTTCTGCAAATGATGGAGTAGTTCTAGCATTCACAAGATTTCAGTCAACTTGGGATTACACAAGTCCATAAACATGGCAGAAAGACTTATTTATGTAAATGTTATTTCCAAAATAACTAGTTAAGATTGGCACCTTATTATCAAACGGGCCCCTTATAGGTCAAAGGAATGCGACATGAATAACTTACATTCTTCATGCGGAGAACTTCATTCCTTTAATTACCCTACTGATTATACCCACTACCTTTGATCAAATTTTGTGCAGTGCTTTTAAAAACTTAATAATATATGGTCAATGATTGATGAAGATAATGACTCAGGTGACCTATAGTAGTTTAAACTGTATCTCAAGAACGACCTATTATTATCATTAATATAGCACCATCAATAATACAATCACTAACCATATATTGTAATAACAATGTATTTACTTGACTGGTCTTCCACCAAATGTGGAGGAATACTTACCCAAGTTTGTTGCCCTCAGAGTCTACTGGGATATGAGCTTTGGTACAATCGGGCACTAAGGCCCGTAAGAATTCTTCCGATGTAGCATTTGTTATGTCGTTTACATACAAAGTTTTATCTTTAGCCTGACCTGAAATTGACAAACTATCCATTTACACACATTGCTTCTAACCCGAGTAACCTTGGTTACTGTGGCTGGAGAGGTGTTGCCTTGACAATATGACCAGTTGTCTTATTTTGTCACATTTTTTTTTATGTGTGGGTCATGTACACATGTACATAATAAAAACTGATATATTGGAGGACATGGTCCTCAAATATTGATTCATTTAGTTTGACTTTCATTTATTTGATCAAAACAGATTAAAGTTATCTGCAGTCAAATAACTTCATTTTTTTTAAAGAAATAGGGAACCATCACACAATCAAGATGACCTTCATCTTTAGATATAATTTATACACAAATGTATACCTCTGTGATATACAAGTCTGTTGTGATTTTATTCTAGCTGGTCATAGTGAAACCAAATGCATACATGTATGCACTTGGACAAACTCAACATATTCAAAGCTCAAATCTTTTCATATGCTATATACATGCATTGCAAGAATATACATATACACTCAAATGTATCATGAACATTACTTTCAAATGGTCATTAATAATTAAATCATAAAGAGCAAGGAAGGCTATATTCAAATACAGATTATCACAATGAATCTGCTCTTCCCATAATTCAATTAAAATGAAGTAGTTCAAATATTTTCACAAGTATAAACAAAACAATGGCATCAAAATGTGTATACCACATGAGCATATCACTGATGCTACCTGTTGGTCGGTGAACAAACACTACACAGCATTTGTTTATAACACTGGAAATTCACATCACCAGCGAGAGGGTTGGTGGGTATTCCTTGAGTTTGTGAGGGAGAAGACCAGTTTCTGGTTTGACAGACCTCTCCTGTAGTTTAACAGTCCCTATTTTGACCTTTCACTGCGTCCATAGATGCTGACCTACATCCTCTAGTTTGATTGGTGTGTCTAGAGGCTAACCTCCAGTCATCTAAATTGTCATCTTCAGGTCACACAAACTATTAAGTAATGGCAGACGAAACTTATCCCTGTAAGGCTTTTTTAAGGATAACTACATTTGTGTCAAGCATCCTCTAGTTTCAGTGTCCTCTTCTTCCACGCCAGCTTCTGTTGACACATTCCTTCAGATAACCTAATATAGTTATCTTTTCATTTTTAAGACCTACCAATTTGTATCTTAAAATTTTGGCTATAATGTTATGTATATAATATGGTAAGCACATTTCTGGCGTGTCTAAGTGTTTGTTTTTGTAATATTTACTGTTTTATGGTCTACTTGAATTGTACAGATCTCATCAATGACATGAATTGTAATGAGGTATACATGTTTTATGATCTAATTGAATGTTAATGTTTAATGTATGGTCTACTTACGTGTCCTATCATGAACTTGATCAGTACATGTTTGATTATCTATTTATCTATGTTCTTCACTCAGAACTTGATAAAAACATTTTAATGAGTACCAGCTAATACCCAACATAACAATTGTCCTACATAACTCATTCTTCTGATTAATTTCCAGAAAGAAAAAAAAAATCTTACCAATATATAGAAACAAAAGGAAAAAGGAACTATCTTTTCTTTATCGAATCAAAGATACAAATATTTGACTGTAACAAAAATTTCTTATACACTAATTGTATATCTGTTTTATCATCTCTAGTTTTACAGTCACAATAGAAATATTGTACAAATAAGTGTTGCTTAAGTTAGTGTGTTCTATCATGTATTTGTCCAATAATTTCACTATAAACAAAACTGGATTTGATTAATGACTTATTTTTGTAAGAAATATATTGAGATTATATGAAACAGCTAGAATTCTGGTTGTTATGAATGTACCAGAGTTTTGTAATAGTGTTCAACAAGCCTGTGTGTAATGCTTACAGCAAATTCATATGCACTGAAATCTCACGGGAACTGTTGTATTATAATATGTAATTGTTATACTAAATACACCTAGTATGTATACATACTCATCAGGCCTCTTCGTATTCCATATAACTCAGCATCTGTTCCATTAAAAAAAAGAGATATAGAAATTGTCATCATTTTTTTTTTGTTTTAGAGCAAATCTCAAAAATCTAATTCAAATGATGACACTACAGAATTGCTTTAAACTGATGAATTAGCTTTAAATGACACTGATGTTGACAAGGGTAATCCAGTTCAAAACATTCCTCACACATGAGTTGCAAAATTAAATTAAATCAGTGGTAGGTCAATGTTTTGAGACAAAGGCTGCAAAATATCAAATAATGTTGTCTCTTTAGGTATACATAGTGACCCCCTGATAATAACTTCAATGGATTGAGCCTGTTTTAACAGAATAGCTCAAACAAATATGATGTGTTCATCAGGGACTGTAGAAAAAAGTTCAGTGTTATATAGAGTTACAGTTTAATCCTTAGCTTTGACAAGTGTAAAAAGCGGAATGAATTCATGAATTAAGAGCTCAATTTTGTATGACAATAATAAGCGGTCATATCTACATACAACAGGAAATGTACATCATAAATCATGCAGAAATTATTATAACCTACCCAACTCGTTCCTTATCATGTCTGGTGCTGTTATTTCAATATCAGAATCAAAATCAACCAGATCAGCAAGAATATTGATGACTGACAGAGCTTTGAAATCCTTTTTTGAGGAATAAGTCAGCGTTATTTTTCTACAAAACAAGCAAATATAAAAGAAAGTTTAGAAAACAGTCTGCTATTAAATGTCAAATCAACGATGGTTTCATTACAAAGAAGAAGTTTATTGATAAGAGTAAACATCTCTTATGCAATGTTATTCCCAGGCCATTTCAGTGTGACATACCAACGAACATTAGTTTTTGAGCCACTTATCATGCACCATCAATTTATCGTTATTCTAATTTTCATATGTGACTGACAAACATAGGAAATACAAAAACATACACAGTAGGCCTAGCTGTGTATAGTCAGAACAAATTGTCAAATCGTCAGCTGGCCAACAGGGACATTGAAAGGAAAAACTAGAAACTATAGCACATCAAAAAACACTTATGTACATACCCAATCCTATAGTTCCTGTTTTCCTCTGTTTGATCACTTTGTGTGTTCTCAGTATTGTACTCGAAAACAAAGCTATCAGCTTTACTGAGGATAGTCAGAAAGTCTTTCATCTTGGCATCTTTCATTTTGAATTTATTGATGATCACTTCACCTTGAACGACTTCACGAAAAGAAAAAAAAATATGAATATATTTCATATAACTCTGATGTACTACTGCAGATTCTGATAGAATACTAGAACTTAGTGGTTTACATTAGAACTGAGAGTTTTTAAACTTACACCAGTATAGAAGGAATTCTTTCAAATTAATTTAGTCAAATGTAGGATAAGCTAATATAAAACTGATGCTGATAAACAGCAGATCTGAATGAAAAATGTACGAAAGTCGAAAGTCTTCTACCAATGACTTGCAAATGAGTCGAGAGAAAGCTACAGAAATGCTGCATACCAAAAATTGTGAAAAATGTCAAATGTCTAAAAATGTGCATTAATCTGTAAAATTTATTATCAAGTGATAGTTAACAGTTTAAGATGATAGCGAGACATTTTCTGCATAATGTGGATCTACTTGTTTCAATCTGAATTAGAAGGATGGTGATACGTCAATGACTACAGAGACTAAACAGAGCAATAAATTATGTACATAACCATCCTTTGCCCAAATTTTCGGTTGTCCGTCTTCCAATAAGGCATGATCGAGTACTTCAGTGAATTTTGTGACCGATTCGAGGCTTGGACTATTTGCTTTTCCTATGGGACTCGCCTTTTTTGAGAACCTACTACAGTACATTTCTTAGTAATTGGACTTCTCAAAATTTTTAAGAACTTGTGAAGGGCAGCTTGATATTTTTTTTTTTCAAAATTCACTGAGTAGATCATACTATTTTTTAACAGACTGTCTACCATTAGTTTCGAACCCTGCTAACATTTATGTCAAAGATCCATTCTTTATCATTTTTAAAACCAATATCTCATCATTACCTCTGACTAAGGGTGGTCTCTGTGATTTATCAATGACATTTGGTTTCTTTTTCTTCTTTTTTGCCTCTGCAGAATCCTTCTCTTCTTCTTTAGAATCATCTGCTGCTTTGGAATCCTCTCCTTCTTTTTTCCCAGCAGATTCTTCCTCTCCTTCTTTTTTCCCAGCAGAATCTTCCATGTCCTCATCTTGCTTTGTTTCTTCCTTATCTTCAACAACAGCATCATCCTTCACCAACTCCGACAGTTCATTAATTGTTGCATCAATGTCTTGACTGATAGCTGTTATAGATTCACTTGTGTCCATATTTTCAGTAGTTTCTGCCATCTTGAATTACAGTAACCTGAAATAAAATACAAAATTACTTAAAATACACAATGTGAAGTTTTTACAAACCTAATGCACCAATGTACAAACTGAAATGGCATCAAGCACCTATCAGTTAACTGCCAATAACAGAGTTACAGTTTGTGCATGTATCAACAACTGACCTATTCATAAGATATTTTTTTATATAACAGCATATTACATAAACCAATGAAATATCACAAATGTGCTTTGCTATCTTCCCCCATCCCCAACAGAATTTTATCAAGGTATTTTACATTCAAGTAATTAATTTTTCCTAGTTTAATAAACAAAGGCATTTCTGTTAGGTGAAAAGAAAGAAAGTGCACGTTCATGGTTCATAAACTTAAAGTCCCTCAAAATTGATACTGTATTTCAGTCTCAAAGATTTCTTATTACATGAAACTAAGATAATCTAGTCATTGTGAATTTGAACATAAGGTTTATTTAGAGCAGGGGGGGGGGGGGCCACATCCTCTTTTTATACAAAATTGAATCCCCATTGCCCGAAGTTTGGTAATAATCCCTTCACAGGACAAAATCATGTCCACGGAAGGAGAATACATTTGGCGTGCATATAGGAGGTTTGAGAAAATTAGCCATCTTTCCAACGGTACCGAGCATTTTTTTCGTACCACTAATAGAAATATGATTTTTGGGCGAAACAACCGGGAACCCTTACTGTATGCTATTCAAAGTTTGTTTTTTAAGCCTTTTGATTTTAATTATAACTGAAATCTTCAAAAATTATATAATTTATAAGGTGATAGAAAAATCTAAGGAGGAATTATATTCATTTATGGTTGTGTCAAAAATAGAATATCAATGGGTGTTCTCACAAACAAAATTAGCACCCGGGGCTCACTGGAGATATTTATATAGAACGTTGAAGTCACCAATCAGTGTCTCCGGTTTTTGCAAATGTCGGGGACCAAATCGGATCAAGGCTTAAATTTTGCAGTATCTTACACTTCAAATGAATATTTTTTGTTAGCATATCAACCTTTTATGATGACCTTTAGAATGTGTATGACAAAACGTATTTCTACAGTGTGAATTTTATTTTATTCCTTAAGTCCAAAACAGAATGCATAGTCGTCGCAAGCGCCATTTTTTAAAAATGTAATCAAAACACCAACATTTGAGTTTGAATTACGTTTTCTTGTGCTATTTGAACTTAAAAACTACTAATCATCTGTTAGGTGACAGTACCCAAATCGGATCAGCAAACCTTTTTTTTTTAAATCATTGAAAAATCTAAAGAGGAATTATATTCATTTATGGCAAAAAGTATTTCTATAGTGTGAATTTATTCCTACCTAGTCCGGTCCAAAACAGAGTGCATAGTCGTCTCATGCGCCATTATTTTAAAACGTAATCAAAATCATTTGAGTTTGAATGACGTTTTCTTTGGCTATTTGAACTTAAAAACAATTATCTGTAAACAAAAAATGGTGCATGGCTATCTATTCAAAGACTACATCATTGTTGTAACCGATTTGTTGACACATTTATTTATAAGTATTTTTGCAAAAAGTGATCTGATTTTGGTACCGATCCGATTTGGGTACTGCCACCTTAGACAAAAACTGGTGCATGGCTATCTGTTCTTAATCTAAGATTACATCATTGTTATTACTGATTTCTTCTTTATGTTACGGGGGCTCCGTCAATTGTGACGTTTATGCCCTCGTTGTTGTTGACACAATTATTAATTTTTAAGTATTTTAGCCAAAAGTGATCCGATTTGGGTACTGATCCGATTTGTGTACTGCCTCCTTATAGCTAAATACAGCATATATTGTTTATCAGAACCTAACCACCATAATCGGCAAATTATTAAAATTGAACTAAGTCGGAGGTTAGGCCTGTTAGGGGGCAAACCGTTGCGACTTTCCCGATATCTGAAATTACAAAATCAAATTTAAAGATAACTATAAAATAAAAGCACTTATAATATTGCTACAATGCGTGCATCATCTTTGAAATTTGCTTTCATATTGCATCACCTGACAAAAAAATGAGACAACGCTGCTTCGGAGAACGCCTTTTCACACGTGACTTCGGCTATTTGCAGTATTAGAATCATTTCCGGTCTAAAAAGACTTCCGGAACCATACATTCTTTTTACAACACTTAAAAACGATTTTGCTCCTTACCTTTTTATACTATGAGGTATATTAAATTCTTATTAGTATTGATCTTTATCAAAATACGCGAATTAACCAGAAACATTCAGTAAACAATGTAAATTACTAACACTAATAAAATATTGTCCCCTAGTGAGTACATGTATGCAAAGTAATGCACGGGGGATAACTCTGATCTGCGCATATTGTGGCCGGCATTGTTCCAGGAGTGGAAACAGGTTTCTGAATTATGTGTGTCTGAATTTTATTTAATAATGCTTATTATAAATTTGATTTATTATTGATGTTATTCAAATATTCTGGTGATTAGCAGTTAATTCATGACAGGCACTGAATAACAACACACGTTTCCTTCTTTGATAAACGCTGTACAGTAGAGTAACGTGGTCACAGTAACTTGAGTAAGTCAGTAAGACATGGTAAAAATGTAACTGTGAGTGCTACAGTACAGTAGCTATACTCGTATTTTCTGAGCTGCTGAAGAGAGTGTAACATATATCAATGACAACATAATATTTCACGGCTGCACTTTGGGCTCTTTGCACAGACGTCATATACATACCTTACCACCCTTTATTTATTCATCTATAATTATACAATAGGATAAGTAATGGATGCAGGCAGACACTCTGCCTCTTTATCCATATCTTAATATATTCTAAACGTATTTAGAAACAGATATTCATTAATTGTCATTTCCTGAGATTTCTTATACAGTTATATGCACATTGAGATAATTATCTTCTTTTTTATTGTATAATACCACAGACTTAATTCTGTGATAATTCCCAATATAACACCAGAAATGATATCGATAAAACCGAAATGGTACAGCATAGGGCTGCAAGGTATGGCTAAATAAGCAGATACAATCACCGTACCTCCAGTGTGTCATATTTGCTTGACCACTTAAAGCTGTGCCCTCTAGTGTAAAGACGAAGAAATGCTCGTCTAACTATGCTCTATAACATCGTTAACAACCACATCAATGTAGTCAAAAATGACAGACTGACACCCCCAATTAGACACTCCAGGCATAGCAATCGGCTTTCGTTCCAAATTTTCCACTCTAAAACCCAGACCAGAAAGGCTTGATTCTTCCCTCGTACCATACCCAAGTGGAATAAGCTCCCTCCAAATATTGCCTTCAGCCCCACAACAGATTCATTCAAATTAGCTCTCTACCGTCATTTTACCAGCACTGATTAAATTCTGCCTTCCAAAAATCTCCGTTTTTACTCCTCCTCCTCAGACAGTTATCTTCAGATTGTTTAAGTTGGTCAGTATACCCTTTAGAAGTAGAAATAATGGTGATTGTAAGCCATTTTTATTTATCAATTACAACTAGTACTATTATCCATATGTTGTAAAGGCAGCTATAAGTATTGTATATTATTATCAATATTATTAGCTCACCTGGTCCATAGGACCATAATGAGCTTATGCCGAGGCGCAGCGTCTGTCGTCGTCTGTCGCAACTTTTTCTTTAAAACCTATCTCCTCCTTAAACGCCAAAGAGGATTTCAACCAAAATTAGTCTGAAGCATCACTAGGGGAGGGCAATCATTTCTTAAATAAATGAGGATGGTTCAACCCCTGAGGCCAGGGGGCGGGGCCCTGAATGGGAACTTAGCTAAATTTGCTTTAAAACGCATCTTTTGCTAAATGCCACAGAGGATTTCAACCAAATTTAGTCTGAAGCATCATTAGGGGAGGGCAATCATTTCTTAAATAAATGAGGTTGGTTCGACCCCTGAGGCCAGGAGGGCGGGGCCCTGAAGGTGAACTTAGCTAAATTTGCTTTAAATCACATCTCTTCCTAAACACCAGAGAAGATTTCAACTAAATTTGCTCTGAAACTTCATTGGGGGAGGGCAATCATTTCCTAAAAAAATGAGACCGGTTCGCCCCCTGGGACTAGGAAGACCAGGCCCCAAAGAGGAAAATTATCTAATATTTTGATATTGGCACGTTTATCTTATCAGGACAGGACCTCAATGGAAATGACCCATAGACTGAGTTAGGCAACTAAGGTTTCAATTTAAAAGCAATCTGTTTCATCAAAGCATTAAGGTTCAACTAGCCCCATATATGTTAGAGTTTGGAGGGTCCTGGGTTCGAACACCGGTCTGGCCGTGTATTTTACCATCTCCTGTTACAATATATCACATAGCCAGATTAATGTAGTTGATAAAAAGGCATTATTATGATTTAATTTAATTAATTAAACTAAGATAATAGTTATAACATGTCTTTTTTTATAACAACATTAAATGTTAAAAAGGACACTTTATATGAAGTTTATGTAGTTATTATGGTCATAGTTCTATGGTTTTACACGTTTTAAAACGTTTTACTATGATTGTGGATATATGGGAATGTACCAAACATCACATCTACAATCATCTATTTTTGAGGCTGCTATACCTATCCACATCTAGTTAAAGAGAAATTAAGCTCTGTATGAACTTTAACTAATATGTCATTTCAGCATTCAGTTGGGTCGCAAAAGAGATTGACATGTTATAAGTTCGGTGAGCTATTTTAATGAAGTCATCAGCCTTAATGCTTTATTATTGACTATATTAACCTGGTTATGTACCTTCTTATTAGCTAATGTGAGTTCAATATATTTAAATTATGAATATGACTTACCAAGGTGTTGGAATTTAGGGTGACTATAACATCTTTTCTTTTAACCTCAAATCTGACTTTTATATAAACTGATCTACTGGCCAATAAAATAACCAGGTAGCTCAGTTGTATTTGTAAAAGCATGCAGTCATCTAAAGAGGGTTGGGATTAAAATTGTGGACTGACTGTCATAAATGGCAGCCCACAAAGTATACCCATGGAAGGTTGTACAGATTATGGCAGCCCACAGAGTATACCCATGGAAGGTTGTACAGATTATGGCAGCCCACAAAGTATACCCATGGAATGTTGTACAGATTATGGCAGCCCACAAAGTATACCCATGGAAGGTTGTACAGATTATGGCAGCCCACAAAGTATACCCA